CAGTGACCTTGATTCTTTATGTCGGCCATGATGCAGTGCCTTGAGGCGGAGGTCTAGTCAACAGTCACGATGTTGAGCCTCTCGTGCCGGAGCGTCACTGCAAGTCGGGAGTCACATGTACGAGCACTGAGGTGAGCTTTGAGGTGGACTACTCGGGACAGAAGGTGATCAAGTCTGAATGCAGAGTGCAGGCGGAAACAGCGACCTGTCTGACCATGGATCAGAATGGGCACCTCTCACAGATGCCATACCATGCCCAGCTGCCTGCCTGAGGAATGTGGGATAAATTGCAAGTCCCGGAAAGCCAGTGAAATTTGGCTGCAGAATTAACGACTTTGACTAGAAGCTTGGTGGCACGGTTGATGCTTCATGCACCGATCACGAAGGTTTGCGGCACAAGAAGTCGAGCCGACTGTGCCAAGCTTTGTACTTGTGACGTCCAGAGTCCAGAGAGGCGGCAAAAAGCATGGCGGCGGCTGCGTGCTTCGCCGCTTCGAGGTGCACACGGCTTTGAGATGACCGGCTCCGTGGGCTATCTCTGCTGCTTGACTGCGGTTAGAGTCGTGTTTTGTTTGGTGTGTTGCTTTAGAAAGCCTGCCCCGGCCGAGCTTGATGGTTGCCCCAGGCAAATGGAACAATGGTGATGGAGTGCCTCGATGCTGTAATGGCTTCCGGACTTCCGGCCAGCTCGGGGTCTTAAAGAAGGTCGTTGGCAAGCCGAGGCCTGCTACAAGGCTGGAGCAAGTGATGAGGCATGGACTTTGCAATGCTTGTGGCCCACTCTGTTTCAGTTCTCTCTTGTCCTCTCTGTGCGCCAGTGTTCTTGCGGCTTGGATGCGAGGCCGACTACCCTGACAAGTTCCGGAAATGCTTCGTGACCCACAACTAGTGCCAACCAGAGCCAGTTGAAGGTAGGCTGTTGTAAAGATGGCTCTGGCAGTTGGCGATGTCGAAATCTGGCCCGATCACGTCTTGATGTACGCTCTTCGACTCAGCTTCGGCTGAAGCTTGGACCGTCTCACCTGAACTTGCGTGGTGGTGGGGGCGCAAAGAGACTCGATTGCTCGGCGCATTTCTTCTCCGTCGTGCTGCACACCCGCTTCCTACAGTCTTCCCGCCTGCAGAGGCGAGCTTGTCCAGCCTGTCAGCACGAGACCAAGGGAGCCATGTCGCCCTGCAATGCATCTCCGAGCCTCTGAGTGCTCAGGAACGCTTGGACAGCGGCCATGAAAAGTTTACGTCAGAGATCGAGACGAAGTGCCAAGAGGCTGCCTTGCGACGCGGTTACCGACCCGTCTTGATGATAGCAATAAGCGAGGTCGATGCCGAGCTGTCAAAGCGGGCGGCAGAGAGCCAGCAGGCCTCCAGAGTCTCTCTCCCACTCTCTCCCACTCTCACTCTCACTCTCACTCTC